ACGCGTAATACAAATGTCTGTATTATGTTGGAATAATGAAATGTTCAAATTCTAGACAATAGAGTGTGTCATATGAAGCTATTAGGTTTGTTCATAAAAAGTCATATGAATGTTTTTTGGCAGTATTTTGTACATAAATGTATCTCCTTTCTATTATAACACGAAGAAATATTACAATCGTAACATTTATAGAACATTTTAATGTAAGTAAAAAATATTTCCTGTCAGAAGAGATTCTTCAATTCCTTTACACTTTTTCTATGCTTACTAATGAAACAGACTATTAAGATACATACATGTATTGTCTAGAACTGACATAAAAAGTGCTCATATTATTAATTTGATTTTTTCGTTGCTATGGCACTATATGTTTAAATAATCCTAAATACTATTTTACATTTTTCATCAAAATTTTGAGTGTATTGATTGTAATATCTATCATGTGTGTATTAAAATGAATGTTTCTACTATTATAAATGTAAAAAGTTTAGTCTGGCAGCTTTCATGATTTAACCATTGAGATTTGTTTGTTCCAATATTGACTGAACCACAGCACTGCAAAATTAAGAGATTACAAGGTATGACAACAGTAAATTAAAGTTGTCATTTTATAAAAATAAAAAGTTTATATGTAAATAGATATGTATACAACTTTACATTTCATCTTAACGTTCTGACTAGTAGGTCAATATATAAAATTATGTTAGAAATGCTACAAACCCCACATATGTAAATTCATAGTAAATTCAACTTGTTTCAATGCAATAAGTAAAATAGTTAAAAATGATCATAATATCATACTTTCTCGTTGTCTAAGGTTTTTAGTCTTATGTTAGTTTTGCAGCTTATATTAAAGTAAACAAGCTGTCAATTGTACTTTATATATAATGTAGTAAACTACAGCTGCCAGAGAAATTCATGAAAATGCATGGGTTACTATCTCCATTTCAAAACATTCATATTCTCTTTTCCTCCTTTATGACAAAATTAATTTCAGTCTGTCAGTTTACATATGGCTTTACCTACGTTGATTAATGCCTGCTCATTTAATATTTATAACATAATGCATCTTCTCTGTCTGCGTTTTTGAGGTTCAGGTCTTAAAACAGCACGAACAGCTTCATCAAATACTTGTTTCAGGCCACGTTGTGTCAATGCAGAACATTCCATATATTTTACTGCACGAATCTGCCAATTTCATTTTAAATTAGTATTAAGAAGCATGACAATTTGGAAAAAAAATATTATAGTCTATAATATTCAATTATTCCCCTCAGAATTTGCTATAACCACTACACACACTGTTCAAAACCGTTCTAACCTTATTTGCCAGTTTTTGTCCTTGTTCACGTTTTATAGCACTAAGACCTTGTTCAGCTAAGGCAGTAAGTGTCTCACGATCATCTCGTAAATCTATTTTGGTTCCGACAAGTATCATTGGAGCATCTGGGCAATGATGTTTTATCTCTGGATACCATTTACTGGTAACATTTTCGAAAGATGATGGGCTTGTTACTGAGAAACAAATTAGAAACACATCAGTCTGTGGATATGAAAGTGGACGCAGCCTATCATAATCTTCTTGTCCTGCTGTATCCCAAAGTCCTAAACTAACAGGTATTCCATCCACAACCATGGGTGCTGAATAATTGTCAAATCTGCATAATACAACAAATATTATATTCAAGAATATGATCAGTACAATTAAATTATAGAACATCAGAAAATTATATACTAGTAAATTATAATAAGATAATAATTATAATAAATGATAATAAAAAGTTAAAAAGTAATTTATTACATAATAGCGTTTATTTTGTTTGAATAACTATGTATTTAAATAAAATCTTAGAAGTCCTTAGAACGGAAAGACAGATATAAAAATATATTGCAGAATGGATTACTTCCTGTAAGTAGTGGAAGGGTGTCCAATACTGCTTCACTATTATTAGCCACCCTATTTCACTACTCCAAGAAAGAAGTGGGTAATAAAAAAATTGTAAAAACATGATATTCATAAAGGCATACAAAATAATACTTTCCTGAATAACTTTGACTCAAATTTTGTATTCTAAAGATATCGTATTATCACAAATGATACAGTAATGAGTAAATTCACATAACAATAGTACTCACACTGTGGGCACATATTCTCCTGGAAAACTATCTGTTGTATATGATATTAACATACATGTTTTTCCTACTGTTCCATCTCCTACCACCACACATTTGATTGGTCTACCTGAGCTCATGTTTCCAAGACTGGAGTAACAAATAAATCTTGTTATTTCCTTATTGTAATACTTAAGTGACTTTTATAATATTTTAAACTAAAAAGTATTAAGAGTCAATTTTAAACTGCAGAAATCAAAAGCAATATCTACATCGTTGATTATTAATTACATTTCTAAAAAATGTATAACTTAATAATTCGATCAAATGTAATTACTTTTAACTTATAATGAAATAATCGTCAATTACAATCGTACAGTTCATGAAAAATATATATTTATGTTTTTTAAAACAAAAATATTTTTTGTATCTATGTTTCGTATTTATGTTAACACAACACATATCATTAAAGTCATATAAGTCCGTCAAGTGATTCAAGACAGATCAAACGATGCACGTTTCAAATTTGTAGGTTAGCCACAAGAGTAATTCAGTTCTGACTTAATTGAAGGGCTCGCCCTTCAATTTCGGGTTACTTGCTTGATATGTAATTGGTAAATAAGAATAATCAGTCATTATTTAATCACTCACCAAATATGAACAAATGTTCGATTAGAAAAAAAACACTATTTCAACGCGATTTCGGTGTTGTATATATAATTAGATTTTCTTCAAAAAATTAGAAAACCGGGTGCCATGACGGTATTGCGGTTTTTGGCACTAAAACGGACGTAGCCTTCGCTTGGTGACAGATGTTCGACAATACTCTTCCTTCCCCTTCTACCAGAAACAATTATTATTCAGAAATGATGAATGGCGACATCTGTCGAATCAAGAATTTCTGCTGTGCGCATAACCTGTGCGTGCCTGTGCGTGATCTGTCTGCGTTGTGCTTTTTGCTGATAGCAAGGTGCCATATATCTTATAAGAATATTGAAAATGTTAAAAACCTAATCAATTGTAATTATCATTATTGCAACTATAAATCATCTATTCAAAGTATTGTTTCATTAATTGCGATTCTCTATGATTGTTATGAGAATCAGCATTTAGTATTAGCATTTAATTTGATTGGTTATTGAAAAACAGAACTGTGAAATATATAAAAGTATGTGTAAAGTTTGTTCAACGCTATCGGACATATAAAAAATGTTTTTAAAATGTTAATAATAACTACAATATTAAAGCTATTATTATTTTTAGGGTGTGTAGTATTATAAAAACAAATTTTAATAATGCTTTTGTAATAAAATGATAGATTTAATTTCATCAAAAAACAATGTTTTTATATGGAGTGCTGAAGGTAATTTGTTTTACATTTTTAGAGAACATACTGTATCATGTAAGTGTAGACATATATTAATTATGCTTACCTTTTAGATTGGTTAAAACTTCGAAAACATCATAGAATTGTTGGTGAATTAATAGGTTGCCTTCCTAAAAAACCTAGGCAAGATATACTTTCGGGTCTTCCATTACTTCTACAACCAGAAGAAGTATCTCTTTTGCTTGAAAAAAACATAGCCCAGCTCATTTATTATCCGTGTCTTCAAAAACCACCAACTGAATCATTAAAACAAGCTTTTGAAAAATATAGAAACACATTATTTGTAGAACAAGAAGAATGTTTAAGGAATGAGAGAAAAAAACAGGTTCTCAAAATAATTTTTCTTAGAATTGATTTTCAATTATATAGCATTCTATGTATAAGAGTTTCGTAAAATTTGTCGCATATTCTTACAGGTAATCAGTATGATGGATAAGATTGTAGAGGGAAAGAAACGAAAAATACTTGGAATACAAACAAGGAAGAAAAAAGCGAAAAAGCCATTAGATCCAAAAATGGAAGAAGCTCTTAACAATATTGAAATAAATAGACAAGAATTGTTGGAAGAGGAAATGGCAAAAATACCTAAACTAGATAAGACTGATGCTCTCATTCAAACTCATACAGGTATGTGTGTAGTATTTATATTAATAATAAAGGTCATGGATATTTATACACTTTTATTTGCTATAAATGTATGAAACTACTAGAATCTTACAAGAACATGTCTTGAAAACTAATAATGTATGCATAAAATAATACATTTTGTGAAGTACATGTTCTCAGTATATTAATAGTATATTCTTAGTATATCCATGGACAAATAAAAATGAAGTTGAAATAGTAGAATGGAAGTATCCTAGCAATCCTAAAGAACAACTTCGATATTATACCTATAAGGATCTTTGGGAAAAGGGATACTTCGTAACAAGTGGTGAGAAATTTGGAGGAGATTTTTTAGTATACCCTGGTATGTAATAAAAAACATTGTTCTATCTCACTATTTAAATATTGCTACAAGATAAAGAGAAAGATTTGAAGTTCCTAAATTTACAGGTGACCCTATTATGTTCCATTCTCAGTTTATAGTCCACTGCAAGGACAGAAATGAAGAATTTCCAATAACCGAACTTTCAGCTCAATGTCGTATTGCATGGCATGTTCGAAAAACACGTGTATACGCATTTTTCTCTAGGGATCAAAATAATATTATATATCAATCATTTCAGTGGGCAGAAAGTAAAATACTTGAAAATGGATAATATTCTTCAGTTTGGTACAATTTTGTAAAAGAAATAAAGTATGAGAATTTTATTGTTTTTATGTTGTTATATATTTACACCTCTTAATTTGGAACTAAGTGTAACTTTAATCAAAAGATTTCATTTCAAACAGTTTCTATTACCACAAATTTGTCATGTTGCTTCTGAGGGATAACGTTAAAATGTTTCTTATATATAACACTTTCCTCTCTACCTGCATAGTTCATTAGAGCCCAGGAATGAGTGTTGTTCGGATTAATTTTTTCACATGTGACCATTACTTTTCCAGGTTCTAAAGCATATAATGTCCCATTTCTACCCATACCGACCTATAAATAAATCATATATGAAACATAAATTCTTATAGTTTAACAAAAATATTCATAATACTTCTGACATTTCATAATTCATTTATAGAAATATGTATTATGTAAGTACAACAAAACATACATATAGTCCTGGATGAAACCTGGGTCGAAGTTGTGTGGCTAATAGCTGACCTTTCTGGACATACCATCCATCTTGAACTTTCCATCCTCTATGTTTTGGTTTTGGATGACCAGGTTTAATTCTTGTGCTGCCACTGGATTTCTTTGATGCGTATCTTACACATGCTGTTAAGCATTTCTTATGTTGAAATTTATTAATTACACAAAATACGTTACAAAAATAATTACAAACCTAAATTAGTAGTAGAAGGAATTACAAAAGACTTTGTATTTTGGAGACCATTACTAAGCAAATGTGTTAAAAGAGACATATCTGAAATACAATAGTATATTTGTTTGTTTACTTAAATATATCATAACCTCTTATAAATAATCAAAGATATTTTCGTAAAAGTCATTTAAATTAAAATCTCTAACAATTTTAATTTAATATTTACTATCATTACATTCAGTTAATATAAATATGAAGAAGAGTATAAGCTACTGCATAAATACAAAAGACAGTACCTTTGATGTTCCTTTCTAAGACTTTCTGTTTGGAATTTGCGAGTGAGTGATGCATGGAAGACATCACAAATGTGATTGGATAATGCCACTGGTAATTCACTGGTATCAGCCAATCACACCGAAGAGAACGGACAAGCTCCGTTATAGACTTGAATTGGAATACCGGCAGCGAATTCTTGTACCATTTTGTTTAATCTAAAATAATTTATTTCTAATAGTTTTGGATTTTGATTGATCACTGGTTTATCCTTTATTTTCCGTGCTCTATCAGCATATCTTAATTTACTAAGAGTTTTTATTGTATGAATGATATTCATAATTGAGATATAACATTTCCAAACGCCAATAAACTCTTATTTATGTTAATACCTTTCTTAAATCTTCCTCCTGTTGTAAATCCACTAAATATATTGTAAATAGAGCATGACTATGGCTACTCTAAGCATTCATAGCTTGTGGCACCAATCACATGACCTAGAGATACTTGAGTTAAGCACTGGTGTTTCTGATGCATTTCTAACTCTTTTTTTTAACCACTCCAGGAACTTTAATATTTTTATCATTATCTTCAATATTAACAACAGATCGATCTCGTTATTTACCAGCCAAGAGATCATACAATGGTTCTTGGTAACTTTAATTTGTTTTTAATTCAATTATCTGAAATACAGCATACTTAATACTCTTGGCATTACACCTGTATCTTCTGTTTCAATATAATTTACACCTATATCTTTTGTTTCAATGTAATTTACACCTGGATTTTCTGTTTCGATGTAATTTGCACTCATCAAGTGAGTTTTACCACTTTCTATTTGGCCATAAGCTAATATAGTCACATTATATCCTATAAGATGATATACATATAATAATTTTACATAATCATGTATCTGAAAATCTTCAAGTAATTTTACTTTTAAAAATATT